AACCATTCAAAGGGAGAGAGCTCTAGGAAAAAGACTCTCACCGGTCCATAGCTTGAAGGAGGAGGGAAGAAGGAAAACCCAAGGATAAAAAGCTAGGAATTGAGGTAAAAATTCAATTAATGCTTTTAACTAGTTTTATTGATTATGGTTTTTAAGAAATCATATGGTAGATTAAACCATGAGTTCTACACGTTTAAAAGTGTAGAATATTGTAATAAAGTGGTGGCATTTAACATAGAAGAGTTGGTGAATCGATAGGAGTCGAAATCGCTAGAAACCGCCACTCAAAGGAGGCTGCTCGAATCTGCAGAACACGAAAGCCGCCCGGCTTTTGTGAAAGCCGCCCGGCTTTTGTGAAAGCCGCCAGGCTTTTGGCTGATGTCCAGAAACTCCACTTTCAATCGGTCTAGAATGGGAATTGATCGAAGGGCTTAGCAAAGACAACTATTGTAGCACATTACAAGGTGATGGTGACTGACTATATTTCTTATAATTGTTGGGTTAATTTCATAAGATTACCTAAAGTATTAAATGTGATTTTCATGGATTATTAATGATTAATAATGCCTAAATGAAAATACTATTGGATATGAGTAAATGAAGCATGATATATAAATTTAGAGAAATTTTGTATGATTATGTGTTATGAATATGATGACATGATAGTAGGAATTTACTATCAAAATTTGTGATAAAATATACTTTTACTTCATGTAAAGAATTCATGAATGGATAAAAGGGATATTTTTGATATTGAGATTAAATTATATTTGGATTGGATAGTCAATGGAAATGAATCGCTGGACTTTGAATTATGAACTTGGTTGTTCTAGGATTTCCCGACTAGTATTGAAATACTAGTCGGGAGATTGATATGAATGATAATGGAATTAATCCTAAGGGATTGGAATATGAATAGTGATGCCTTAGGATGTTTTTACTTGGACTGTAATTTGCTGATCTGGTCTGGTCTGGTCTATTCTGATCTGGTCTGAACTGGTCTGGTCTGGTCTGGTTTGGTCTGGTTTGGTCTGGTTTCTTTGTATTTTTATAACTATCCAAGTCTGGTCTGGTCTGGTCTGAACTGGTCTGGTCTGGTCTGGTCTGGTCTGGTCTGGTCTCGTCTGGTTTGGTCTGGGATGAATTACAGTCCAAGTAAAAACACCCTTAAGTAGTCTTAAGAGATACTTTAAGGATGAATTGTATGAGCTCTAAGGTATGTTAGGGGTAAGCCTTAAAGGTTACTCTAAGTGAATGAATTCTAAGCATATGATTGGTTTGAGAATAAGACTAAAATGATGAATTAGAGCCGGACTCTAGAATTACATGGAAACATAGTTGGGCCGAGCCCTTGCCATGTAATTGTGAAGTACATGGAAACATAGTTGGGCCGAGCCCTTGCCATGCATTAGTGAATATCATGGAAACGTAGTTGGGCCGAGCCCTTGCCATGAAATTGTAAGATTGCATAGAAATGTAGTTGGGCCGAGCCCTTGCTATGCAATAGTGATGTGTTGAATTTTGGCTAGCGGATATCATAGATATGTAGTTGGGCCGAGCCATTGCTATGAAATCGTGACATGATGAACTATATGAGTTGTCGTGACTTGGGGTCACAGGGAATAGATATGGCGAATTCTAAATGAATATGGGCCTACGGGCCCAATACTTGACTTTATATAAAGTAAGTATATTTTTAAAACGGGGTAACCGAGGGTTATGGCCTATAATATAATATCACCCTAGATTGAGGGTGTTGAAATTGAAACATTGATTATATTCAGTGTAGTTGTCATTGTAATTTTCAAATGCTTCAAAGTACTGACCTCCCCTTCACGGGGGAGGCCACCTCACAGTTTCAGGTAGAAGTGGAAGCTTGCTATCGACACCCGTTGCTTCGGGGATATCTAGGAGAGAAGACGTGGTTCGTGCTTCCTCCGTTTCTGTTTTAAAAACAATTATATAAATGCTCATGAATATTATTTTTCTGAATAATTATTGGGGGCTTGTATGCCTAAGTTTGCCAAGTGTGGCTTGAACACTTGTAATATTGTTTCCGCTGCTTTAATGAATATTTTACATTATGTTTGTTTATGGATGTACTACGTGTGGATGATATTCCAGATGCCTTGTATAGTATGTATGTGTTGGACTACGGTTGATTATTCGTACTGTACGGTGGGTTGTTGAAGTGTCCGGGTAGGTCCGGGACGTGATACTCATAATGATACGGTCCTTTCATTCAGCGAACATTCAACTAAGTCTAGAACTTGATATTGTGTCTATTCCAATAACTTAGTCTCTATCTCTCAATCTTTCTAGATGATCCATAATGATCATATTCGATATCCAAAACGAATATATCTTTGCATTGACCAATGACTTTATGATCCATCTAGATATGAGAAGTAGAGTGTTCTCTCTTAATCTATTATGAGTAATGATTCCTTTCTTGTCTCAACTACTACTCCATGTGCTTTGTGATGCACCCAACACATGCCGTATTTACCCCGATTGGAGTGCAAGCGTTGGTCATGGTCAAAGTACATCACTCCGCACATGTAGTACGTATTGACCTCAAGTCGGAGAACTATTACACTACTCTATACGCTGATAATCTCATAGACACATGAATAGAACTTATCAAATGGTTTCTCGGTGGGTATGCCAATATTCTCTAAAATATCTATGTGACCATCATTTCTAAAAGTATGATGCAGTCTACATACCAATCTTATCGCATATCATCAATATCCCATTCTTGATGATCATTGATTGGGGCTATTTTAGGACCTTATGTTATATCATATAAGCTCCCACTTACTTATTGACAACATAAGTCCAAGGGAACACAATTATGAATAAGATATTGACAATCGAAATACTTAAACATCAATGTGAAATACCGAATATATCAAATATATAAAACTAAATGTGATCAAGTACATATATCTCTAAAAAGTGATTGTCGTTAGGACATATATACTAACAATCTCCCACTTGGCCTAGTGCCAATCACCAATGCGTCTAACACCTGGACTCTCAAAAGCGTACAATGTTTCTCGCATCTCAAAGGTTTGGTGAATTGGTCAGCCAAATTGTCCTCTACTGGAAGACATTCTATTGCAACTTCTCATCTTGCTATTTGTTATCAAAATAGATAGCATACTGGTATTTTCTAGTTCCTTACTTTGCATCTTGGTTCCTTAGCTTGTGCAAATGCACCGGTACAGTCACAATAACAATTATTGGATAACTGTCGCTAGGAACTACCCCTATTTCTTTAAGGAACAAACGTATCTAAACGCTTACCTAAGTTGCATCGAATGCAAAATTTACTAGGCTTTAGTAGTCGAATTTATAGTAGTTTCTTACTTGCAACTCTTTCAGCACTACTATTACATTGAGACTAAAAACATATACTGACTGTGACTCGTAGTCTTTCTTATCATACATGAAACTAGTGCTAGAATAATTAAATTCTACTAGTTCTTTCTGTCCACCATAGATAAAAGGATATTCATGAAGATTTTGGGTGATCATTTTTTCACGGACTTCAATGAGGGGATATCATTCTCTATGATCAACATATATGATTATGAAAACCACGCTATCTTGTTGCGCACTCTAAACACGCAAGCACCCTCATTTCAGTTGATGAGGTCAAACGATTTGACTATTTCATCAAAATTAATATTTCAACTCCTAGAGGCTTTTTTTAGCCCATAAATAGATTTCTCTAATTAACATAGTGATTTAGAATTTGACTTGGATGCAAAAACCTTCAGGTTGTACCATGTACACCTCCTTCTTGAGGTTTCCATTAAGGAAATGAGTTTTGACATCCATCTGTCAAATCTCATAATCATAGTATGCAACTATCACAAGCAAAATTTGAATGGACTTGAGTTTAGCAACTGATGAATAGGTATCACTATAGTCAATTCATTCTCTTTGACTATAACTTTTAATCACTAGCTTTGTATGTTTGCACCTTACCTTCACCATCAATTTTCTTCTAGAAAATCCTTTGCATCCAATGGGTATAACCCAATAGGCAAGTCAACCAAGTTCCATACTTGATTGATATACATCAAGTCCATTTTAGATTTCATGGCATCTCGCCACTTCTCTAAATCAACATTTAATATTGCTTTAGTGTAGGTCTTAGGTGCATCCTTATCAAGAATTTCAACATCATCATGATCCTACATGAGGAAATCAAACCTAGTTAGTTCATGACGAATCCTAGTATAGGGGTGGGCATGGTCGGTTAACCGGGTTTTGGTTAACCAACTTTCGGTTAACCGAGAAACCGGTTACTATTTTTTAACCGAGTATCGGTTAACCATCATTTCGGTTAACCGCTTTGCGGTTAACCAAAAACCATAAAACCACAAAATATTAACAGTAAAATCAAATATGAATAGAAACTTCCCAAAAAATGCAGGAATTAAAATAATACACCACATATATAATTATAAGAAGAAATTCCACTTATGGTCCTTCGAGTTTTGCACCAATTCCACAATTCATCCTCGTCTTTCATTTTATCCATTTTTGGTACCTGACTATTGTTTTCTTGACCATATATAGTCCTTTTCTGATAGTAAAAATGCTCAGAAATGGACCACAAATGGTCAAGAAAACAAATGCTAGAGACATGCTTCCACTTAATTCTCCCACTGAATCCTTGTTTTGACCATCTAACAAATCTTCATCCTCTATGTTATTTTGTGATTCTTGAACTTCATCAAGTTATATCCTTCCACACTTGCATTCCTTAAAAAACAAGTCTTATACTAGGAATCTAGCTTGTCTGGAAATAATGATTTTTTTATTCCTCGGAAAGATAAATTAGTATCTCTAGTTTTCTTAGGATAGCTCACAAAATAATATCTCTCACTTCTAGGTCCCAACTAGTCAATGTCCATTTTCTCCACATATGTAATAATAATAAGAGGATATATTATTTGACACTTTTCCATCTAAAAAACAAAAAGAAATGCTTCCAGGCAGAAGTATATTATTTCTGTGATGCTAACTGGGGCAGAGTTGATTCATTCATTCATAATTATCGAAGAAGAGCCGAAACCGGCCATCTCGAAATTACGAGAGGATGATGCTAATCCAATATGTATGCCTTATGTGGTTTAAGTCAATTATTAGTTAATTAATTCGACGGTAATAAACCACCTTGCCCTTTTACCCACGCTTCTTTCCCATATTCTATGCAATATATATCTCCTTAACGATCATATATTCCTTTTTTAATTATGCATTATTTAATGATAAACAAACATACAAGAATTGAATTAAACATGAACAGAGTCGCCGTCGCCGTCGCCCTACTCTTCTTCACCCTTTCACCGTCGCAGGGTCGCATTCAGATCAGGAAACCGAAGTATGGCGTCAGCATTCACCAGTTCTCCAATCCTTTTCCAGAACATGACGTCACGAGTGTTCTCCGTCTCCCTAGCGACTCCTTAAAGGAAAATGAAATGTTAGCCCAGCCCGATAAAGTCGCCCAGCAAAATCAGCCCGTTGAGAACCAGCCCGAGTCTAAAGCTGAGGCGGAGAGAAGGCCCATTGAACATTCGTCGGTTTCAAACGGCCCGATGGATAAACCTGTTGAAGCCCATCCTGAATCGACTATTACCGTGGAGAATGATCAGAAAATTGAGCACCAGCCCGAGACCAAGAAAGACGAAAATGGACCTGTCGAGCAACATTCCAATTCTAATGAGGCCGTAGAAGCCCAGCCTCATGAGCATAAAGAGCCCACCATAGGCGGGCCTGAATTAAATGACAATGAAGCACAGCCCAAGACCAACAATGAGAAAGTCCGTCCGGTAGAGCCCGAAACAAAAGATGCCGCCGTGGAGGGCATGTCGTTTAACAGAGCCGGTTTCCGGCCGATAAACCGTCAATTCCGGCTGAAGTCAGGGATCCCCTACCGTCTATGCCGCCACAACCACCTCCATCACATCGAAGAAATCATTCCCGACGAATCTCATGTCAAAATCCCCTTTGGAGATGGAATGACACTCTCGTTCGCCGGAAACGGCGATTTCAGCCAAGAGGTCTTCCACGGCGGCCGTGTCCATCCGAATATGTTCCCATTCGGAAACCACCATCACCAGCACCACGATTTTAACGAGGGGATGGTTTCAAACCGTCAGTCGGAAAACGAGGACGGCAGTTCTAGCCACGTCACGCCGAAGTGGGTTAAGTTCCTGCCGCACCTCCACCACAACCACGGTCCCCACCATCTCCACCAACACGAAGATAAGATCGCGAAAAGTTCGCCGGAAAACGGCCACGACACGAACTCCGAAAATTTCAACCGCGGGAGCGGTGACGGTGGAGAAAAGGCGGAGGAGGCGGAGAGGCACGATAGCGAAAAGAAGGAAAGCTATATCCAGAAGCAATTCCGCAAAATGTTGAATCAATACTTCTGAATTTGGAAGAAGAATACCAATTGCTGCTCTGCTTCATAGGTGCGCATAGATTTTCGGATTTGAATTAATATTCATTTTCTGTTGCTTGTTCATAGTTTGTAAATAAAAAATTGCATCCGTGAGTGATGTAGATGTTAGAAGAAGAAATTGACAAATATGTATATACACTCCGAATTTAGGAGCCATCCATGTAAATCATAATGCAGGTTATAATCATATACTCAGTATATAATCATCATATTTAGAATCTGTCTGGTGTTGATAGTCTTTTAATACTGCTTGTTATTGTCACATGCAATTACAACAAGAACATCTTTGAGTCATTTCACTGTATAGATTTATAAGTTGTTTGTCATATATAAAATGATTCGAAAAGGTTATAACCTAATTTAGTAAAGATCATAGTAGTTGGCTGTGAAAGCAGTAGGGATTTATATTAAATGTTTTAGCTCTGTGTTAGCTGTTTGCAAGTGTTCGATATAGTAAAAACTAATTTATCATTTGTTAATTCTTTATTTACGAGAATTTTGTTATTAGAAGTTACCTCTTTGATTCTCACAAAAGTTTAATCAAGGATATCTTTAGCAAACATGTGAGAAGTGAATCACAAAGTTAATAAAGAAATCAAAATCTTAGAATATGTTGGTAATGTATATCGGATGATTATTTTAGCAAACTTATGAGAAGTGAATCGCAAAGTTATTCTTGTTTTATAGGCATGCCCATATTGAGTATGCACATTATATATGCGGATCATTATCAATTCACTCGAAGTACTAGGGACCAATGGACTATACGTATGTAGAGTTTTCATACTCTGTATATGTATAGTCCATAATGAGAATGCACATTCTAATGTTATATATGCAGTTCAGTATCAACTCACTCGAAGTACTATGGAAGGACCATACATATGTAGAGTTTTCATACTCGACTTACTCTGCAATCCTTTAGATATAAGTGAAGCACTTTATTCGTTTTCCATTAGTTGCAACAATTTACCTTGTATATTATTCAATCTCTAATTTGACCATAGTAAATTTAATAAAACAGTATAAAATCATAAACTGTAAAATGTTGTTAACTTTGTGTCATAAGTAGTATCTTTTTTTTGTAGTTTTATTAATAGATAACAAAACGAGTTAGTGGGGAAGGAAAGGAAAAGTATATATTTGAACAAATTATATGTGGTTTACACTTGAGAGAATTGGAGTTCCATGTAATCATTTGCAAAACTACTACACAGTTTACTCTAGTGGCAAGAAGACAACTGAAATAAATCTGAAGAAGAATAGAATTGATAAATTAATAGATGCATGCACCATAAAATTTATGGTTAGGAGCAGCTGCTAGTTGTGAGCAAGGCCATGGGCTAACTTGAATAGCAGCACCATAAACATCTGAGCACTTCCATGGAGGATTTCGCAGGTAGGTAACATCACCATTAAGGTGGATATTGGACAGGCAAATCCGGTTAAAAGGAGCATTCTTCAAACCATGTATCATCCCGGCCTGCAAAACCCTCTCCCCCCAAACGTCCCTGATTTTGATTCCACTTACAATCGGGAGAGCCTTCGGGTCGAACCTGTTGTCTGGATGGTCACCCCCATTGTCACCCACAATCTTTATGCCTGTTCTCGCATTCTGCATGTAGACATTAGAGATTGTGATGCCTTTGATGACCCCTCCCCGACCAACACCTGTCTTTATATGAATGCCAATCCCAACGTTGTAGAGCTTTATGTGTTCGACCACAATGTCTGCTATGCCCCCAGAGGTTTCGCTGCCGATTGCGATTCCAGCAAATGGGGATGACCCAGTAATTCTTCTGATGGTAATGCTGTGGCTGGGGCGGGCATAGGCAATGCCATACTCATCCCAGCCGCTCTTTACTGCCACTAGGTCATCTCCTGTTGATATATAACAGTCCTCTATGCAGACATGGGTGCTTGAATCTGCCATAGACCATCTTACACATATTAAACTTAAATTGGTGTTTTCATTCTAAGAGTTAATTAACTTGCAGCTAAGGAGGAGTAGCTAAAAATATACGTAAACATGATTATTTATATTTTACTGAATACTGAGATGTCGGGTGACTAATGTGACTTAATGTGCCTTACAAGATTATGGCTCACTAGAGCAGACTAGCGTTGAAACTGGTGTTCTCATTTAAGTCTTGGTTCGATTTGTTGCACGCTTCAGCTATATTTGATTTTCCTGTCATATTAAGATTTGAGTTTCACATATAAAAGCTAACTGAAGATGACTAGATCTTATTTATGAGTTCATAATATTCTACTTATGAGAGATAAATTAAATAGTACAGACCTCTGAAATTGTTAGACATATGTGACTTTTTTTTATCTGGAAATGCAGTCTCTCCTTGCTTTATTACAGGGGTAAACTGCGTACATCCGACCCTCTCTTACCCCACCGTAGGTAGGAGCTGTTGCGGTATTGAGGTAATGATGATGATGATGTGACATTTTTTTGCTAATTTTTTGTTATATGGAATGTGTTATTCTGATTTGATTACATGTAAAAATAATTGGTAGATGAATTAATAACCTGGATCGATTCCATCAGTATTGGGAGAATCTACGGGAGCCAATATCGTAACATATCGAACAACAAAATTTCTGTCAAATGAATATCAACAACATTATGTACCATAGTAAAAACAAAAATTGACATGATGTTCATCTTGCACCATAAGTGAAGTAATACGTAGTACTCCCTAATAGAGTAAAGAAGTCTTTTCCACTTAAGCCATCCAACTGATAGAAATACTTTTGGTACCTATTTTAAAATTTCAACTTTTAGTCTTCTTATCATAAGTAACATTTTTTATCATTCAACTATTATCAATGATAATTCCAGTCCTCCACTTATTCTAGCAAAATCATAGTTGCATGTGTGATTAAACAAGCCAGTTTCATAATAATTGAAGGATAGGAATGCATAATTTCAAAAAACAAAAACCGGAATGCTCTTAAAAGCAGTTTTTTAATACCTTGAGAGACTAGCTTTTGAAAAACTAATTCTAATTCTGTTTCAATTTAAAAAAATAAGTAGATCAGAAGTAGAACCAATTTTTAAATGCCCCATAATGATATAGGAACTAAAAGTGACAAAAACTCATAGGAGGTGTTTGTTTTGCAGCGGTTTCCACCTAAAACGCTGGTATTACCAGCGTTTTCCCGTTTTAAAAAACGGCATTTCCACCCCACCCGCCGAATACCAAACAACACCATAGACAAGATTGAATACCGGCAATAGACAGGATGGATGTTCCAAAAGGGTGAGTTCTTGAGATTGACATTGGAGATGAGAACACCTCTGGAGTTGATGAGTTCAATAAGACTGGGTCGTGTGAACTCCAGTGTTCTTCGCTTCCACATGTTCCACCACATTTCACCTTCACCGTCTATCGTACCATTCTCACCTACGACCAAATTAAACGATTTCTAAGATATGCTTTAAAATAGCTGTGAAGGCATTGTTTTTCAAAACAAAGAACTATATTTTTCATTTATAATTGCCTGTGATAATCACATCCCGGAGTCCATTTCCGTGGATAAAGCTCATATATCTTCCGCCTGGTCGTTCTCTTCCTCTTCCATATGAAGGCAAAGGAGGAATTAAGGGCCAGTGCCTTGTATCCTGCATCATTAATTTATTGCATGTTTTAAAAAACTATGGAAAAAGTAGAGCTGAAGAAAAGAAAACGGAAAGATTGAAAGTGAGTGGAAATGCTAAAAAAAAGTATTCAAAGAATTAGTTGGGCAGACTTTTTTTTGGAAACTGAAGAGAAATTGGGAAAGGAGAATTTGCCCAACAAAATAGGTTTGTTTTAAGAGATATTACCCGAAAAGGACTAAAACAATTTGAAAATTTCAAAATAGGATTGCCATATTTTTATTCCCAAAATAGGACTAATTACTGTCATGTTTTGGCAGTACCAGACTTCAAACATGGCAGTAGTTAGTCCTATTTTGAGAATAAAAAACATGACAGTCCTATTTTGGAATTTTGAAACTGTTTAGTCTTATTTCGGAAACTTTCCCTTGTTTTAAAATTTGTTTTGAACTAGGAAAAATGGAAAGAATCAAATTTGATTAATGTTTATTTTCAAAATATACGGAGTACCATGAATCTATAATGAAATGAACTTGATCTAATTTTTAATTTCCTCCCAAAATTTCTTTATATCCAAATTTCTCCTCAACTTTCACTCTATGTTACCTTTCTTCAGCATACCTTTACGGGAATGACAAAATCGAAAAATATAGAATATTGATATATATGAGGGTGTATAAGTGTACTTATATAATTTATAAACATAAAAAATTGTGGAGACGTATATTTTGTTCTGCCCATGGCTTTGAATAATTTCAAATTACCAAGACAATTGAAAATAAGGTCATAATCTCATATCATAGGTATAGTCTCAAATATATCTCCATCCCCATCTTGGATTATAGTCTCTAACCCCAGATAACAAACAAGTCAAACACCTATAATATGAAAGTAAAACTCGACGTGCTCAAAGTTCTTAGATAAAGTATTGTGAATCCGGTTATTTAAAAATCCGGTTATTTAAAAAAACTATTGCACTCAAGGTAAATTTATTCCAATTTGTTAATGATATGTAATACTAGTACGTAGTAACTGACAATTTTCTAAAGAATATTATTTTGTGTTGTTTGGCTAATCTTTGGCAAAATCTGTTTTATGGATCTAAAACGTTCCAATTAATTTCTATTCAAAATATATTTTCACTCAAATTTAATTTTTTTTGTCTAATCTGATTTCACATGTTTAAATCTAATCTCATTTTTTGTGGTCTGTTTAGATATGATATGATCTGTTCTGTACTTATTATTGTCTATTATTTAAGTATGATCGAATTTGAAAAAAAAAAAGAAATTAAAAAAAGGAATACTTATTTTTATCATCACAATGTAATTTCACAGTTGAAGATATTGTGAAGTTTACTTGTAAATGAGAAAATTAAAAGTATATAGCTATAGGCTACCCCACAAAAATTATGAGTTGGTTTGGTAACATTAAAATCGGCTAAAGCGGCTGATTGTGTTACGTTTAAATTTATAAAATTCTGGCTAAAATGATTGGATTGATCGATTGTGCTGATTTATGAAAAAATCATATTTAAAATATATTTTATTAATGCACACTATGCAGTCATAAATAATTTCAACCTTATTTACTTTGATTATTACACAAT